ATACAGCTGTAGTTTTGAAAAAGCGCAGAATTCTTTCATTAATCCGAGTGAACGTGGTCTACTACATAATAACCGTTTTATACACGGGTTGGATGGAATCAGGACGCATGCAGAAAAAGATACACGGCGATACGGTTCAATGTAATGTTTTCGCATCGGTTCGCCGTGGTTTGATGAATCTAATCAACCATCGAGATACAGAGAGGATCAAGAGGCTCTTCAAGATCCTGTAACCTGCAGAATATTTGTGTTCTCTGTTACTGATATCGTTTTGTGAGATTGACCGCGGTGTCAACTGTCAGCCACCAAACACCAAAAACATTCTTTACGAGAACTAGTACAATGAGAGAAGAAACAATCCCGAGAAACATTGCGGACGATCAAGGCTGCTGGAGAGATACTTTTGCTAGTATATTCGTTCATGATATATGACGTCAGTTAGTATCCTCCATCCGATACTTTCTTACAGGATGCTGATTTTCGAACCTGTGAATCCGTTGCTCGAAACCATCCTACTATAACACAAACATAAAACTGTCGAAGGCAAAGATAAATTTGTGTAGAATTTGCTCACTTACTGATCTCTGCAATCAGGTCAAATTCTTTCTTTCTTCCTTGAAGACTAGCTTTGGTACATACTTATATAGAAAGTTTGGTTCAAAACATCTGCTCGGAATGGGGTTTTCATGCGCTTACGGTGAGGCAGTGCGTATCAAAGCTCAATTATCGTACGTGGTGAATGCACTCATTCCAAATTGCAAAAGGTTTAGATTGAATCAGACAATTTTGAACCACCCATAAATAATTCTAACCAAAAATCAATTGTAATGCCTTAGGTAAATATGCTTAACAAATATCAATAATAACATAAATAAATAATTTTTTTTAATAAGTAACGGTATAAATACAATATTAATAGTTTAAGTATAAATGTCTGGTGGATATACATGGTATATTGTTTACAACTATATATTCTTAAAGCAGAGGAAATTTGCGAAAAATTCAGTGTTCCCATTTTTTTTGTTTTTTGAGATTTGTGAGTAAACTATATTGCTTTGAGACGTCGCTCTTTGCTTAAATTAAAGATAATTGGCTACAACATCTTCCTTGCGAATTATGATTCTTACCGTAAAATGAGTAGGTTTTTTCTTCGATATCGGGGTCGATAATTGACCCAATCTTTCAAGAGAGGGATAATAAATAAATAAATAAATAAATTGTCCATTTTTGGAGGCCTCTGTCCCGGTAAGCATGCTTGTTCTATAATCTCAAATTGTAGTAATTTTAGTCTACTCTAAAAACGCATAAAACATACTTTTTAACAATAAGCATAGTTTCGGAATTGCTTGCAAAAGTTTGAGAGTTTTTCAGTAGAAAGGAGTTATGCAGTGCATTGGTTGATTGAAGGGTCACGTTTGTAGTCATTTAACCAGTTTTTCGGAGCTGTTCATGATAAAATGCCCAATACATTTAATATACAGTGATTTTTTTAATGCAAACATGAGATTTTGTATGCAATATGATTTCCCTATGTTCGATTTTTAAAAAACCCATCAATCTATTGAGTAGTTCAAATGAGTAGTAGATAAAATTGACACACACACACACATTTTTAAAAATACTGCCGTCCAATTTAATTTAAATAAAATGCTTACTTTAGAGATGAAGGGCCAAACTGTAAATTGGTACAAAAGTGAAAACAGTTTTAGGGGAGTTCGGAACTTATTTGCAATATGTATTGAATACATCATATTATTATTATTAAAATACCAGATGCACATAACCTACAAATAATTGAAGGTTGGTTCACAATGAATTATGGTATCAGCGCGTGCCCTATGAGGTCAAGTTTGTAAGACTAAGTTTAAGAAAAATGTATCGTAAAGTTGCTATAACATGGCCTTACATGGCTTCTTTTAAAAAATCTTGAGTGCTGTTCACAATCATAAATCAAGACTAGAAAGCGTGCTGTTCATAGTCACGCCAGTTGCGCGTTTTGCTGCTGCGAATGTGAATCGCGCACTCTTCATAGATTGATGTGATTTTTTTAAAATAGGGAAATTACATTGCATACAAAATCGTATGCAGGGGCGCCTACTACCTGGGGGCTCCGGGGATCGAGCCCCCATGCTCGGGAGTTACGTGGGGGCTGAGCCCCCATACGTCGGGGCTGAGCCCCCATACGTCGGGGCTCAGGTTTCATACCGATTTAACCGAACGAACCATTTAGCTATACGTAATATTTATAATAGGCTAAGCTTAAGTATTAGAACAAAAATGGGGGTTCAGAGGAAAGATTTGCTATAGTTTTGATTTTTTCATTCTCTATGTTTTTTGGGTTGCTGAACACGAATTTGAAGTTTGCGGGCAAAAATTTGGTCCGGAACTTTGCTTTTTTTGCACTTTTTGTCCAGATTTTGGCACTTTTTTCAGTTTTTGACCGATATCTCTGGAAGGAAGCATTTTTTCGCCAAGCCCACCCTATACAAAATGAAGTAGACACAATTTATTACATTTTTCGTATATAACTTTTTTTTGTAAGGCTAATCATTACACCGCCATAGCGCGCCAAAGAACACCATAATTCGCATATATAGTGAAATTGACCGTTTTCGCGGAAATCGCTCATGCTATTATAGTAAACTCTTATGAAGCTTGCTTCTAGGTGACGACTGTATAATGTTGCAAATTTTCTTATCTACATTACTTTTGAAGGTCGTCCTGCGCCCACTTATATGCATATTATATTCAGTGTTTCACAAACCGCGTGTACGTGTAGTCTTTTTCTAGTCTGCAATATTATCAAAAAAGTATGGCGCTAGAGTAGACGTGCACGCTTTTAGCTGATCGCTCAAATTTTTCGTTTTAAGTATTACTACGCAGTGTTTTCATAAATTTTAATACTGTTACCAATCATATAATATAAGTGGATATAAAATTTGCAGTTTGTGTCTAAAAACGTACCTAGTGTGCCAGTGATTTAAACTTAATTAATTGGTGAAAGGCTAATCCTAAGTGCATTGCTTATCCTAATGCCACAAACGCGCGCGCGCCAGCAGAGCCAAGACAGGCCTGATTATAATTACGTGGATAATGTAGAACCCAAAAACAGTGATATAATAAAATTATTAATTGAACTTAAAGAATCACACAAATGTAGCGAGGAGTCATTAATTACATCCTTAAATCTATGTCACTCAAAACTTGATGACAACGCAAAGGAACTCGCGAAAATCAATACAAGGATCGATTCTCATGACGACCTTATACAATCGCTCCAACAAGAAAATCACCAATTCCGCAAATCATTATCTGTGCAAAAATTAAAAACCGATGAATTGGAACAATATACTAGGCGTAATAACATAGAGGTGCACGGAATACCGCAAATCCAAGGTGAAGATGTTTATCAACTGATACAGAAAGTCGCAGTCGCATTAGGTGTAAATGTAGATAAAGGTGGAATTGACACATGTCATAGGATATCTAAATCGTCATCGTCGAGTGTAATTATTTGCAAATTTGTCAATCGATACACAAAAGAGGAGATGTTGGCAAAGCGTAAAATTAAGCGTAATCTATCCACCACCGACATTGGGTTTTCGAGAGGCAGTACTATATATATTAATGAAAATCTGACTGTATATCGAAGGCAACTACCTACTCTACAAAGCTCGTGAGCTCAAGAAAACAACCAAGTTCAAATTCCTGTGGACACGAAATGGATGTATTTACGCCCGAAAAGATGAAGAATCCCCTATCAAGGAGATAAGGTCCGATGCCGACATCTTATTTATTCAGTCAGGTGCACTATAGGACGATCTTTGTCACATTTAGTGCAATCATTTCGTACGCATAATGCAGTTTCATTTATTTAGAACTCATAAGTTTATTCGAACCTTCATTTTTTGTGTTGTTGCCTCATATTTTGTTGATGCTTATATGTGTAGAATTATATACAATTATTTCAGTGTGTCTGATTCACTGTTTCTAATTTTTCTTTGAATGGGATGTGTACTATTGTTGTTGGTCATTTAAACGTTCGTTCACTTTTTCCTAAGTTTTCAGATTTCAAAAACCTGATGCTGTCCTCGGGGTTTGATGTGCTTGGAATTACAGAAACCTGGCTAACACCTAGAATATTAGACGACCTTATAGCTATTAACGGATATAACCTAGTAAGGAGAGATAGAGATGATGGATCACGTGGAGGTGGTATAGTTATTTATATTAGAAAACACATTAAATTTACTGTCACTGTGACAGAGGTGGTAAGTACTGCCATGGAACAATTATGGGTTAAATTGTATTTTCAGCAATACACTCTTAATGTTGGTGTGATCTACAGAAGGCAGGAGATCTCATATCTGGAATTCGTTAGTGCGCTTGAGGAGGCTGTAACTATTAATGCATGCTTGAGTGATGAAACCCTTTATATAGGGGATTTTAATATTAATTTATTGCGAACAAATGACAAATCCTCGGTTGATTATTCTGCACATGTTTCAATCTCTAGGTCATAAGCAAATAATTAATCAACCTACACGTATATCAAGTAACAGTGCCTCCCTTATTGACTTTATAGTAGTGCCGAATGATATAGAGGTTATAGATGTGGCTGTAAAATATAAGTGCCACCAAGCTCAGAAAGTCCCTGACAGGGCGTGTCCGAGGGCGCTAGAAATTTAGGCCGTACATTCTGATGCAAAATTTGATTCTTTCGTAAATATAAATAAGTAGGCCACGCGCTATATGAGTTGCATAACATCAAGGGGAAACATTAAAATCATTTATTTATACTTGGATTTACAAAAACGTAAACACATTTAAAATTGTTAGATTTTTAACACAATTTTGAATTCTGATGCATTTCTGGTGTGTAAATATGGACAGTTATTGAAACAATCATATTGAAATTAATAACACTCACATTGACTAAATTAACACACAACCTTTAACTTTTTTCATTCATTATCATCACTTGACTACTCATACTCATCCTACGAGCACATTCAAAGTTGGTACCTTACGTTCAACTGTATACATTTCTTGGACAGTTCTTCGTAAAATACACTGATCAGCTTCATCAAAATCGATCTTGTTTGTTGGCTCCACGTGACGTTTTTTCTTAGGAGATTTTAACTTGGAGGGCCCAGCTTCATCCGATTCTTTGCGAATTTGTTTTATAAAACTAACTGACTTCCCAACTGCAGCGGCAGCTAACTCGGTTGCCTTTTCTAAAGGGAAACTCCAACGGGCAACGACCTGCATCTTTTTGTCGATCAAAGAATTCGACCACTTTACGGATTATATTACGAGCTTCAGAGTGAACAAGTTTCCTCTCCAAACTCATGAGTTAGGACTTCTGTAACAAGTTTTACCTCAATTAGCACTCTAAGATTCATGTAAGGTTAGGTACAGTTTTACATTTAAAAACACTTTAAGGGAATTACATACCTTATAAGATCGTAGATCCAAGCTATATGCGTCTTGAAAAAGACGAGTTTGTATAAACTGGAGACGGAAAACGTAAAATAAAGCAAATACAAGAAGCAAATAACGTGAAGCGCAAACTGTCAGAACGGAATAATTAATAATTATGGCGCGGAATGTACCGCGTCGTTTTGCAGGCTTTCTATTGGCCAGCCTGAATTATTTCAAAATTAGTTCGCATATTTTCCGGGGCTTTTCTGAGCTTGGTGGCACGTGTAGTGTGCACGGCTTGTCCGACCATCATATAGTACAATGTAAATATCCTGTTAAACAAATGAAAGCGAAAACTGAAGTTCTGCGTCGTTATCGTAATTACCTACACATCAATTTGTCCAACTTCGATAACGACCTAAAATTGATTCCTTGGGGCACTGTGTATATAATGTCCAATGTTAATGACAAAGTGGCGTTCTTTGAACATTGCATCATCAGCTTATTTAATAAGCATGCCCCCATTAAAGAATGTAAAGTGTCGCAACCATATGCACCATGGCTAACTCAGAATATACAGCTGATGATGTCGCTTCGAAACAAGGCTTTAACTAGATATAAAAGGACGAAAAAAGCTAGCCATTGGGAGTACTATAAAACTTTAAGAAATTATACCACCTTTGCTATTAAATCAGAAAAAAGGGCATTTTTAGAAGCAAAATTAAAATCGTCTAATAATAACCCTAAGGTAATCTGGGCAGAGCTACGCAAAGCTGATGTATATAGAACCAAATGCCATAATGAAATTCCTCCCCAGTTATGTGATGTTGACAAAATTAATAGTTCTTTTTGTACCTACACAAGTACACCTATCAATGATACCTTACTTCATTATTATAATAGCAATAGTAGACATTCTAAACATAAATTTAGTTTTACCGCCACTACTGAAGTAGAAGTACTTAACTGCATATATTTGATAAAGTCTAAATCGATAGGTCTGGATCAGATTAGTGTGTACATGCTGCAGTTATGCCTTCCATATTTAACCGACTTGATCACCCACATAATCAACTCTTGTCTTATCGCTGGTGTATTCCCAAATTCATGGAAAAATGCCAAGATAATACCTCTCCCTAAAATTAAACATCCGAAGGGGTTTACTGATCTACGTCCAATAAGTATTTTGCCTTGTATGTCTAAGATTTTGGAAAGGATCATGGATAGGCAGATCAGGGCATATTTAACCTCTGAAAACTTTCTTCCCCCTTTACAGTCCGGTTTCAGGTCGCGGCACAGTTGCACTACTGCCCTTTTGCACGTCACAGACACAATTATTTCTGCAATTGATCGTAAAAACTGCTAGTTCTTATTTTGCTCGATTACTCTAGAGCTTTTGATAGAATAAACCATGCTGTTCTCCTTGCAATACTAAAATTTATCGGATTTAACGACTATTCTATTAAATTTATTTCAAGCTTCCTTTTAGCAATAGAACACAACGCGTGTCTTTAAATGACCACATGTCAAACCCCATTGCTGTTACAGCAGGTGTTCCGCAGGGGTCAGTGCAGGGACCTTTACTGTATATTATATACACCTCCAATTTTGACACTTGTTTAGAATACTGCACTTATCACATGTACGCGGATGACACACAATTATTATATCAAGCTCCGACTGAAAACCTTAACATTAATACAATCAATAATCAACTCAATTCTGACCTGTATAATATAGCTAAGATTTCTGAAGAACATGGACTCCAGATTAACTGCAATAAGTCAGCTGTTATGCTATTTGGCCGAACGTCGATTATTAACACGCTCAAGCATGCAATAATTGTTGAGTCCAACGGGGCAATATTACCAGTCGTTAATGAATACAAAAATCTTGGATTGATTTTTGACTCCCAATTACGTTTCAAAAAGCATATATCTCAAATAATTAATGAAGCGTTTACAAATATTAAACTAATATTTAATAGCCGATTTCTTATTAATCGTAGTATTAAGGTTATGCTTTGTGAATCCTTAGTGCTTTCCCAATTTAACTATTGTAATAGTGTGTATGGCCCATGTATCGACAAAAGAGACTACAATCGAATTCAGAGAATGCAGAATTCTTGCCTTAGACTAATATTTGGTATCCGAAAATACGACCGGATTACACATAAATTAAAATCCCTCCAGTGGCTTGATATGAACAACAGAAGAATATTACATTCTGCCTGTTTGTTCCATGGCATACTTCAAACCAAAACTCCGTCATATTTATTTGAAAAGGTAACATACAGAGCTGACGTCCATAATGTCAATGTTAGAGATCGGTTTTTTATAACTATACCTACTCACAAAACGTCACTATTTAAACGCTCCTTCAGTTACAATATTGCAAAGACGTATAATGAATTACCATCTCATTTAAAACATTTATCCGAAAGTCTTTTTAAAAAACGCTTGCGCCTCATACTCCTTGCAAGACAGCATTAAGTTCCATCGTTAATATCATTATTGCTATAATTTATTTTTTTTACATTTTTTTTTTCTTTTTAGGTTTTCATTTGTGCCTTCATACTGAATGGTTTTTATTATCATATAGTTTTTTCTTGCTAGGTTTTTTTTATGTCTTGGTCTCTTGTTGTTAATTTCATATGTAGGGGGTTGAGTGGTAGAGCAGACGGAATAACACGGTTTATTCCAGTCTGAACTTCGCCCTATTGAGTCACCCATTATGTAATGTAATGTATAATATCTGTTCTTTGTATGGTGTGTGCTCAATAAATGTCATTATTATTATTATTATTATTATTATTGTGGTTTTACGGTGGTGTTTGCTATTAAGGTGTGTTCGTGATGTCGGAGTGCTTCATTTGTGAATCCTAATATGCCTAGTCTATAAGGATGAAGAGGTACATTTCAGCTCCGTAACTGATATGAATTCATTCAAAAGACTGAAGTAAGAAGAGACACTTTTTTGTAAACCCTTTGTAAAAATAAATTGTTTTCCATGTTTGTGTTTCTCAATGTCAATCTGAACATGAATATCTCAATATCGACGTCAAGGCAATGAAATTTTCTGAACACATAGGTAGGTTCCCATTGCGGTACTGCGATTCAATCTTGTGATGGAAACCCTTTTGTAATTGTATTAGTAATTTTAACGAGCTCCCATACAGATTTTGGAAACCCGGCGCTCCTGATCGTATGTTCGCATTAAAAAAAAACTCACTGTATGTGGTTATAGCATAGTCAAAAATAAATTTCACGTGATTATTTTTATTAGAGAGGATCCTCAAAATGTCGTTGTGCTTAGGGTTTGGTTTAATCCGCCACTGACTATCCGAAAAAAACACAAAGAAAATCTCGATTTATCAATCAACGGTATTATCATAATATAAAAAAAAAACATTTCCAGATGAAACTTTTATACTACACCCTCTTACTAATTTTGATTTTAGTTCCTCTGAAACCTTACTCTCTGTGATATATGACGAGTCATCAGGTTAAAAATTGACAAATTGAATTCATACGCCACATTGAATGATTTAAATTTAAATAAATTCAAAATTCATAAAAAAAAACTTATGACCCCGACGTGATTTGAACACGCAACCTTCTGATCTGGAGTCAGACGCGCTACCGTTGCGCCACGGAGTCGTTGCAAATAAATTCGCACAACAGGTATTTATTACAATGATTTCTTATTCTAATGATTAAATCCATTTAACAACTTATATATTGCAAATAAATAAAATATGTATAAGAAGTATTCATAAACATAATTGGTGATTAAATTGTATTAATTATATAAGCCTGTAAACTACATACAACCATAGACCAAATGATACAACTAAATAACTACCCCAACAAAAACATCCTATTTCAACATTCATACCAGATCAGGCACAATATTGATTCTATACGGCAATGGATTACTTTTTGCTTTTCCATTTAAATCAAACCAAACAGCAACAAATTGAATTTAAAAATTTATCCCGCTTTATTATTGAATTCATTTACTACGTAAGTTATGCAACCCAAAGCTCACTGTTGTATAAGTAGGTAAGTACCTACCTACATTTACACGAAAGAAGTTGCCGAAACAACTTAAAAATATGTATATAATGCAGACATTTGATACCTAAAAGTACCTATACGATCACATACATTTGCGCACATTCAGTTGGTAAATAGTAAAATGTTTAGCTGATAGTGATAAATAGGAAATACACACTCGATGTACTCCATACGTTCTAACCATTGCATCATGCATGTATATTGTATATTATGTATAGTCTCGTAGGAATAGTCTTTGTTCATTTAAATAAACTCGTTTTATTTGTTTTTAGAACCCCCTGCCTTAGAAATCCCAATATTTAGTGCACCACTCGAAAGCAGAACTACCGCTACTTCACTGCAGGCACATGTCGTTTGCAGCATGCATCTTCAAAATGAAACTAATAACAGAAAAGGTAAGAGCAATACTTCGCAAACCCAAAGACTTAATAATGAATGCAGTTTTTTTCCTTATAGATGCTCGTTTTATTGATGAGTTCTACGATCATCCTCCATCGACAGGCAGCTACAGAGCGGCATCCATTCCGGAACCTCCATATCTACAGACGGTGACCAGCGCATCTAAAGAACATCTGTATGACGAAATACCTTGTTGGAAGCACGCTTCAGAAAATAACGCATTAATATTAGACAAACTGTCACACTATGCTAACACTCCTTCCCACACAAATAGTGGATCGATAAGGAAAATTTGAGTATTGTGTATATTTAGTTTTTAATTTTACTCACACAGTCACACGTGCTTTTAAGTTGTATAACATAATGTAGCCTACCCTAAATTCCGTAAAAAAAAAACTAAAAGCCTATGTTTCCGTTTTTAACTTGAATATTTCTTCTTCGAGATATGGTGTCTTCCATACAGATTTTAAGAAAAAAGTATAACGAAAAAAGAGTTATAAAAGAAAATGTAGATACTATGTACCTACTGTTTGTGTAGTTTTAATCCAGTTCGCTACTTCTTGCTTGGGGAACGGACGGGCGGATAAACTATCAATAACAACACAATTGGCAAAATGTAAAAAAAATGAAACAAGACCAATCTCATTAGCAATCAACAACTGTACAACAAGCATAGGCGTAACTATGAGCACACTACCTATTGCACACAATTCTGATTCCTTCTTCCCAGAACATCATATATTGAACATATTCCAATATAAAGAAATTAGCATTGAATTCCCTCTGGTGCGTAAACCGTTTCTTACACCCTGTATAGAGCTGGACTGCGCGTGCCAATCATAGACATATGACTATCTATGGTGCCAATATTGTTGCGTTCACCAAACGAAGCGCTTCATGAGCACTACCTGCAGGCGGCTATACTCATCCACGATTTTCCGTACTACCCCCGCTCCCCACCCCCTTTGACATGCGTTCCGGTTCGCGCGAAAATTTCCATTCCGAGCACTGCGTGGTATGTACAGTTGTATATCTCGACAGTGCTATAAGACAACCCGTGCGAGAAATCTTCGAGGCGCATTCTTTCGGTGATCCAAACGCGTTTGAATTGTCAAATCACGTTCTTTTGAAGTGCGATCTTATGATCACGATTGCGGAAATACTTATGTTTTCTATGGATATGTAGTTACTGGTTAGTCGAGGAGAAAAGAAGACAATTGGTGTCGCATCAAGTGATGATTGTCTCGTACTCGGCTGCAATCGGTAGATTCAGGAAAAGTTGCGGATACTGTCGATACGGTACTTACTTAACAGTGTGCAAGGGTTTTGTTAATTCGAATCTAAATTTATCGCACATCACTCGTGATGGTATTACACGCATTAGTCTAGGCAGGCGATAAAGACATCTAACTGGACATTTTGAGGTGGAAAAGAAAAAATTGGTGGAATATGTTCAGTTAGGTGTCAGAAACAACATATTGAAAATCCCACCCCCCAGACCCTGTGCTAAAGGCTCCAGCCACCCCACCACTCCCCAAAAACCGTGCTTTCGCCCTTTTTGGCTGATATCTCGCGATATATGAGGTCTAGATGAAATATTTTTTGCTGAAAATATTTCTCGTGAAATTTCATACAAGGTAGATACTGAGAAGTTAGCCTAGGTCTACCTCTTAGCCTAGAAAATTCATAAAAGAGGCCAAAATCATCAATTTTTGTGGCTTTTTGCGGTTTTTTTGCAAATATATCGCGACCACGATACACTTACACACGGTATGCTCATTATTTTTCTCAAACGCGTTTTCTACTGCGCATTACGTCATCTGCGAACGTGTGGCGCCAAAATTCAAATGTTTATTCACGATCCAGTACACATGTCACGCGTGACAGTTTGCAACTGATCAGTTGTATCTACGAGCTTTAGCGTTAATTTGTTGATATAATTAATCGTTAGTGAAAATTCCAANTTGTGTTATTTTGTTTTAGTTGTAACTTGAAAGAAATTATAGAGCGTCTGGATGTGACAATTTTGTTTAGTTCAATTAATTAACCGGGGGGGTTATTTATAATTTGAGACACAGGATTGCGTAAATTTCATGTTATAGTTTTGGTTCAATTTCTTAGAAGTGTTCTGTTTTTATTTTATTCCTAGAATTTTTTTTCGATGTAAATTTCTTTTTTAAATTTTATTTGCCGTTAACGAGGTATAGCGCGAAGTAGAGATAAGGTTCTTCGCAGAATTGCCGGGCGTACGTGCCGTTTAGCAAGAAGTTGAAAAATCGACGCTTCGCGTGATTGGCGGACGGGATGTTGAAGAAAGGAGAAGGGTTTTTGGCTTAAATAGAAAATTTTGGAAGAGAGCGGGGCTTTTTGGTCGTTACAAAGCCAACCGGCGCTTCTTCGGTTACGTTATTTTTTGAATTTTGTGGAAGTTTCTTGCGTAGTGGATCCAGGTTTAATTAGAATTTTTTGTTTGCCGTTTTAAGAAGAATTTTTGAGAAGTTTAAGAAGTTTGTCGCCGTCCTGTTTTTTTTTATTTTGCGGAAACACGGAAGTTTTGAATTTGTGGGTACCCGAAGAGAGAAGACGTCGGTGTTTGAGTGTTTGGTCTGCGTGATTGTGTACGGATACCTCTTTTTATCGGAGTACGTTACTCGGACTAATTTTAAAAGTAAGTAGTAGTTAGTGGTTTGTTTTGTCTTGTTTTTTTTTGTAATGTTTGAGTAATTTGTTTTTTTTTTTGTGTGTGTTATTTATTTGTTTAAAATTGTAACAATTTGTAAAACAGAAATTTACGCAATTTTTTGTTTGAAATTAAACCAGTCATTGCAATCCAGGTTTTGTTTATTAGAGTCAAGGAGAAGTAATTGTCGGCGTCTCTTACTTTGTTTCAAGTTGATTAAATCTGGGGGTAAAGTTTCATATTGGAATTTAAGGATTTGGGTAAGCCACCGATTTATGTCATTGTTGGAATGCTGTAGGGTGGCAGAATCCAGCTGGACCTTGAGATGCAGATAAAAATTTTGTTTTCATTTTATTTACAACTGAGCTAGCTAGAGGTAAATGACCTGGGATTCCCAGAAAGTAAAGGTTAGGTCTCATATAATTAATCGTTAGTGAAAATTCCAGGTTGTGTAGTGGTTCAATGGAGCAATTCTAATAGAAAATCAAAAGGAACGGAAATGTAATACTTTCGATTTCCAGACATTGAAGACTTTTCTCGAAAATGGATTGTTGCATGTCGTTGTAATGATAAAATTAACTTGAAAAATGGTGTATTTTAGTATTTACATTGCTGTTTAATTTTATAGTCTGTATTTGTTCTGTCCATTTTGTATCCAGCCGTTTTGAAGCACCGCTATGGGAACGACTTCTTAATTACACTTTTAAAAATAGCGGACATTTGAAACCTGATCCTGTACCTACTTTAAAACCACCACGTAATAATGAAAATCAAAATAACAGGAAAACGGAGGAGAGATTAGATCTTTTGATAACGCATTAATTACATAATATTTACTTAAAAAGCCGCACTTCATGTTTAGAGCCTATATTTTTGGTTAGAGTTTATTTCATACGATCGCTAAATCCCAGAAATACCCGACGCGACGATCTCTACACATATCAGTGTGATTTGTCTATCTAAGAAGCGTAATTTTGCTCTATATTCTGTGGTTTTGTTCGCACGTGACGTCACACTAGATGCGCAAGAGCATACCGTTGTAAGTGTATCGTGATCGCGACCTTTAGGGCTAGAATAGCTATTTGTGTATTAAGAGCGCAAAATGATATATTGTCGATTGAAAGAGACAGTTGACGCGCGACGAAGGAGCGCGGCAATCTCTTGAAATCGACAATCAATTTGCGCTCGAATTACACACAAGGTTTTTTCTACAATCGAGCAGTTCACATATTTCCAAATATTTCAATTTTTCACTCAAATCATTTTAATCTTATGCCCAAATGAAAGATGTCATTTACTCGTTGTCATTGGATACTCTGAGCAATGCATATTTGATTTATAGTTAATAATTGGGAGAGCGAGCGTTTTTTCTATTTTGTCGCTTATAAGCGACAAAGTGACATTCCTCGAAAAAGATGACGTTTGCGTTGTCAAATACGAGCGCAAATGCCTACTTTGGATATCGATTGTAGAAAAATACTTTTAGCTGAAAATGCCCCTATTGAATTTTCTTACAAGGTAGATACTCAGAAATTAGCTTAGGTGTACCTCTTAGCCTTACCTCTTAGAAATAATAATTAAAACAGTTTTTTCAAAAACATAGTGCTTATTGTAATGCTTTCTCATATACAACATTGTTAGTTTTGTTTTCTGGCGTTTGAATAAAGTTTAAAGTTTTCCATAGAACAGGCGACATACAACTGGCCATGTGCAAAACATGGATTTTCCAAATTTATTTCACAAACACGTCCACTGCCCTTGCTATTTGATTTTCAATATTTCCAAATGCAAGCCACACTGGAAACTGTAAATGTTTAAAGGCGAATGGCATGTCGTTCACTCGTTCGGAATCATACAGATGCGCGGAATCAAAACGTCTTCGCATTTGTACTTCCCTTTTGAAATTATGACTTCGATCATGATCATTAATTCCAGCACCGCATGGCGGGTGCCATTATTAAGACGTGGCCGGTTTATTTTCTGCAACATATGACGATTACCTATCCAAGTTTTAATTTCAGATTGGGTTGTGGTAATCCGCTCAATTCCAGAGACTTTACAAATTCCCTGGGATAATGGGCAACATAATTTTGTTTACAATTCGTATGTCATCAAGTCGCCCGCGATCTTATTTTAAATGGCGTGATTGTGGTGAACTAATTGCGATCCGTTTACTTTTTGAACAAACACTTCTCAAAAAACTCACTGAAGCAATACTGAAAACTGGATAAACGTTCCAATCGAATGGACTTGTACTAAGGAATGAATTAATTATTTTTTCATGGATAGATGGATTCCGACCCATCGTACAACATTGAACTATATACTCTGTAACTGGAACGGCATCGCCCGTAATCAGCCATTGCCAGGGGCCGTGGTGAATTTTTGTGAGAGAGAGATGGGTAGAGGTAGGTATCCCTTACCTTATTCCACTCATGTGGGCTTATGGGATGGATTATATTACGTCTTACATTTTTCTTATTTTTGTCTAAAATAAGTTATTAAGAGATTTGCAAGAATGGTCATGAATTATGTTGCATATACGTGCAATCATTTTTATAATAAAAATTCAAATATTCAATTTCATGGGTACGTTTTGATAACATTTTTCAACCTCGACGCGCGCATTTAATATTTTTGCGCATGACGGCATTTGCACCGCTCAGATTTCTTTACTAATGTACCTCACACTCAATTACTGTCCTTATGAATGATAATTCTTCTTTC